ATTACCAAATTAATATGTAATTGCATTAAATATAATTGTATCCAGAATTTCAAAATTAATAATAAAAGAAGAAACTTGGTAAAAAGATGTGAAAAGTGAGATACCCGAGTATTATCTGAATTACTTTTTATAATTAACGCGAGAAAGTGATGCAAAGGAATTATAATTATATACTTTTGAACGCACTATGAAATAATTGGATAAAAATAGAAAATTGTTGCAACAACAAAAAAATTATGCATCTAAGTATAATTAATTGCATGGAATAAATTAATTCATTTACATACTAATTTCACAATATCCTTTTATTAAAGATCATTTTTATACTCAATTCGAAATTTTAGCATTGCATTGAGATAAAAAATGTTTTCCATGATAAAAATTTATTTTAACTTTTTATTTCGTTTGTTTAAATTCTTCACTATCAGCCATTATAAAATGCCAACGTTAAAAGAACAAAACGCCGCGTTTTTTCCTCATGTACTTATGTAATACACAATATCATAATTACAATACATTATCGACAATAGACCCCGATAAGATACATTAAACTAATATACTCCTACCTTTTTTCCCTTCCTCGTTGCCTTATCTATTGTATCGTCAATTCGTTATGCGAAAGATTGTACTATGCAAATTTCTGCACAAATTATAAAATAACCTTCGAAAACAATTATTTGTACTATGAAAAATATAAGATAAAAATAGTCACTATATTTTCATATTTGAAAAATCTGCAATTTTTCTATATAGTATATATAGTATAGAAAAAAGTTGTGAACAAAAAGTATTTAAAGAATTCGAAATATAGATCGAAAGATACAACTTCTGTTATAAATTTCATGGTGAATCATAGTTGCAAGTATGTAGATAATTTTTTATGATTGTAATAAGAACGTAAAGCCCTTTTATCGTGAGAAATATCTAGCGATAAGAGTAAAACAGATCGATACCTATATCTCACCCACGAATGAAACAAATCGAACAATGTACTCATTGATCCGAGAAAGAATATGAAATAATTTAGAATGCTTTAAGTATCTAGGAATACTTGTTTAATCAATCTTGCAATCGCACTATCTTTCTTTTACATCAATATTTAAGATATTTTTTTTTTATAAAAAAAATATTTATAAAAAAAATGCCAAAAAGATATTTCCTTACTTGCATATTGAAATTTTTCACAAACGAAACGATTCATCTTGATAAAATTGGTCGATTTGGAATCTGTTATATCTTAAGCGAGAACATTATCGAGAATTTTGATCTCGCGAAGAAAATCGTGCGAGTCGCGCGTAAATCCTTTCCCTCGCCATTTCTTTACGATACGTATTAGCATTTTAAATTTAATCGGCATATTGACGCCCTTGAACAATAATGGCCTCCCCCGCCGATCCCCTTTTTTCCCTCGTCCAATCTCTCGATCTTTCACTGTGACAACTTGTAAATCCAGTTATATCATCTCTCGACTTTGTAATCAGCTGTGTGTAAAAAGATGGCTCGCGAATTCGCGGCCTCTAAGCGTGAACACGCATGCGCGCACATCTCTCGACAATAAATCAACCGTTTACGAGAGCTTTTATCCGAGTCCGCGTATTCCCTTGACCGCGCTAAATTCAATTAAGTTGCGTTCTATTATACACTAAGTTCCATGCTGATTTTGGAATAATTCGTTTTAATATATGTATGTATCCCTTTTTTACCTTTCTTTTTCTCCTAATGATAAAATTAATTTAAAATGATCGAGTCGAAAAAAGATATAAAAATGTTAATAATATAAATAATTCTCAAAAACTATGAAAACTAATACGTTAACAATTCTAAATCCTGTACTAATCTAGAATATAAAAAATTTAATCAATAATTTTAATAAAAATAACTCTACGCAATGATCAAAGAGATAAGAAAAAATCAATATAAATGGCGAATGCGTGTGCATAACGAATTAAGTTTGAAACCGGTAAGATTATATAGAGAAAGAAATGATGAAAGGAAGATAAACAGATGGCTGAAGGTATTCGTCTAGTTGCAATATTTGACGGCCTTCGACGTTATGGAAATGCGCACGCTATCTGACACACGTGCAGATCCTGTATGGGCGAGTTTCGATGCCGATGACAATCTAAGAAATCAAATGTCAATAAGGTCACGGTCATAAAAGAATGAGAAATCCCCATTGATCTACCAATAATAATTACTCAAACATGTTATAATTATATTTGATTATGTATCTCTAAAAATTCGTCTTTTAGAATAAATAAATCTACTCTATCATATTCAAGATTTCGAAAACATTGTTTGATTTTAAGTTAAATATTATCCATAAGACAGGAAATTTTCTTAAATTTATATTTATTATATATTAATGATTCTCAAAATAACGAATCATTTAATGACTAAATTTCTATTAAGATATAAAAAAAAATAGTCTGATAAATATTTATAAAATTCTTTCGCTATTATAAAGAAGAAAATAATTAGGAAATGTACATGCTTGATAAAAATAACAATAATTAACAAACAAGAATTCTGAATTTTCATCAACATATATTATTAATGCACGTTAAGAATGTGAAAATTTTGAAATTAATAAAAGTTCAAATATTTACACTTATATTTTTATTGAAAAGTATTGTATAAAAATTTGGGGAACTATAAACGAAAAATATATGGTAAATGTTACGCAGTTATTATGACTATCCAACCTTGTGACTAATTATCACGACTAGCAGATTGCACCTTGGGAAGATTGGCTCGTTTGCATAGTGAATGCAAAGATAAGATTATTGTTGTATAATGGTTATCAACCACAGAGGAAGTTTACAAATGAAAGTAAACATTTAAGATTCGTGACTTGGTGAATGCAAATTTCCATATGGAATTCAGTTCGAATTAATTATAAAAATTGCTTAAAATTTTCATTTTATTAAATATTCATTATTCTTTTAATTATATTTAAATTTAATTAATTATTATTTCCGATTTATTATTATTATTATAATTTAATTAAATATATTCTGTATATTAATTAAATCTATTCTTCTAACAACAAAAATTTCTTATACAAACGTTTCTTGTTTGCCGCATGAATATTATGTAACAATTTGTTTATATAAGAGTGCATTTATATTCGTCTGTAAATTTGTCATACAATTCTTTTGATATTTGCTAAAATTTTTATATAAAATATAATAAAATTATAAAGAAATTACTTGTAAGTAAATAAGTAAATAATTTTACTTTTCAATGATACCATAAGAAATCATTTATTGAAATATACAATGCAAATTAGAAAATAAAAATAAAAATGTATTTTTCAAATCGATTCATATTCATCAAGGTATGAACCATTGAATCAATAGATCATATCATAAATTTATTTTCAATATTCAATTTGTTTTCAAAATTCAAACTCGATAAAATAATATGTCTAATAAGAAGATATTTTTGTCAGCATTCTAAATAATATTGATTGAATAAAAAAAAATGTTTTAAATAAAAGATTATTAAGACATTCATAAAGTTTGTTTTTCCATGAGTAAATATGTTCTTTTGCGAGCATACATTTCCAGTAAACACTAAGTTGTTCATAATAAACGCAACTTCCCATTTAAGCCATCGTAATATGAGTTTTTATGATTACGGTTATTTGTGATCCTACTTAACTCCACTTTACATGCCAATATAAACATTATACTTTCATTCGCATACGCGCGAAAAAGATATTCGAATGATAGTAAAATCTCGAAAATTCTTTCTTACCTATATTATATTTTATATTATAAATGCATACATAAAACATATACATCTATAAAAAACTATAAATATATAGTATAAAATATCGTAAAAAAAGATTAAAAAACTAAAAAATATCATAAAAAAAGATACTTATATACTTATATACTTATATACTTTGAATGTTAGTTCGAAGTAAAATATTGTGCAATCAGGAGCATTGGTACCGTGTGAGGATACTATATAGTCTTTACTAGATTCGTGACAATGTTGCCAATGTTCTGTTTTGCTATATTTAAGATTCCCCACTACACCAGATGTTCTCCGTGACACTAATCATGCAGTATTACGGGTGCATCCTCAGGTGTCATGAGTCTATGCCAATCAAGAAATTCTCGAAACGAATCCATTATATTGTGGCAAATCGCAAGAACGATACACTTTTCATTTTATTGCCTCCACATAATCGCGAATGATATTGTCCGAATGATCTTTGCTGCACCTCTTTCGATCCGTATCGCTTGAATGCGATGAACGATATTCGACTATACAGCCAACTTCATATTCATAAAAACGAATTGTGACAATTATTTGAATCAAATTTGAAAAATTATGAAAAACAATCATTCTTGCGATTTTGATCAATAATATTTAGAATTTCGTTCGCAAATATATATAATAAAGAAGATATAATAAGAATTCAGATAGAAAAATATTCTTAGAAAAAGATAATGTAGTTTCGTAGCGTTTAACATATTCTTCTCTCGATTCTTGTCGTAATAATGCAACATGTTCGTAATAAAACTCAACTCAATAGTTGCACGACCTTGACTGCTTGCGAACTCGATTTTCGCGGTATTCTTCGATAAATATTACAGCTAATAATTTTATCAACTGTTTTATAATATTATTTTAAATTTCAAATAATATAAAAGAATTAATCGATAATCTTTTAAGCTCTTTCGAATTTTGACAAATATTCAATTCAAAATATTCAAAATATATCTTCAAAGAAAAAAATAAATAAAGTTATTTCACTAAATAAACATTGCTAAATTTGTAATGTAAATTGTACTTCTAATTTTAAAATACTTGACAATTTAAAAAGCCTAATAAAATTTCTCCCGTAGCTTCAATACATCTTATTGCATTTTCCGAACTACATTATACATTTATGTTATTAAAAATAGCCATGTACTCGATCTACAAAGAATTTTATCACATGCAGAGAAGACGGTTGTTTTAGGTGCGTGTACGGGTCCTACCTTTTCTATGCAAACGACAACACAACGTCCCGGTACGCCCCACACCGTCCTTCTCCGTCGGCTGCCGGCGCACGACTGTGGATAATTCGCGGTTGCGATCGGCCTAGATATATACGAGTTATATTTAGCAACTGTCGTCATAGGGAATGTACGCGATTGGCCACTAGTGGCGTGACTAACACATGTGATTGGTTGATCTCGCAAATACGTTGCGATCGCTTGATGCAGGCCTGGCTTACGGCTGGGCGCGACTTGCGGGTACGACATTTGTTGACATGAAACTGTCAGAGAATACGCGCTGTTTTAATGTACCGGTATATTCAAGTCCGCGTGTTGAGATTCTATCGTGTACTTAAATATATTAATTTTTTTATCCACTTTCTTTAATACTTTCATCATCGTTTTTATTATAATAAATATTGATTGCTTTCTTCTTTAAATGCTTTTTTATTATTTCAAATAATATATTATATATTAAATATAATTATGTGATTTTCGTTTACGATATAAAAATAGCGATTTTAAATTATTTGATTGATAAATAAATATGTGATATACCAACATTAAAGTGATTGAACTCAAGATCCAGTTTAGTAACTGGAACAAGGTTCGTTCGTATTCTTTGAGATACAGGTGAATAATCATTCGCAACTGGGCTAGGTGGGTGGGTGGAATTTATGAAGAATAAGAGCGATGGTAATGGATGATTATTAACGCAGCGCGCACTATTAATTTGCACGAAGCTTTCGAAAAGCCTTGAAGTCGGCTGGCGTGCCTCTCTTTACCTCTATGAAATCATAGATTTCCCGGCAGTGTTATTATGCGAAAATTACGCTCTAAAATTAGTCACAGTCCATTACTGTATGCACACAGATAAAGGAATGAGGTTGGGCACGGCAAGAAAAAATTGCTTGAAACTCTGACTTTTTCGATATGTATCTGGCTATTAATGTTCACACTATAATGATGATGTTATGCTAAACGAATCGTAATGCAAAATGCGCTGTCTATGTTCACTCATTGATTATTCCTATACGATTGATATATTTCCTATATGATATTTAGTCATATGCCGCATCATAGATATATCTTTGAATACTTACTTGTAGGTTAGACAAGATGCTGTATGTTGTAAGAACATTATTTTTAAGAGTTATCAAGATAAAGTTACAAAGTTAAATGATTAAAAATCAGAAAATCGATACTTTTGATTGTCACTATTATGAACCAAATAAAAATTCTTATTGAAATATTATTTAAAATTTTTATCGTATCTCATATGAAAACGCGTTAAAATCTACTTTTAAATTGCATAGATTTAACTGATGATCTACAGTAACGATATCTATTGACATATATATGAATTAATAAACATGGCGACGCCCATGGTTTCAAGTAATGTTTAAAGATAATTTTAAATATTATAAAAGTCGAAATCCTTGTCCTAATTTAAAAAATGTGATCGACTTGAATAATCCTGATTATAATAAAGTATATAATAAATTTAAAAAATCGTCTATTTCATATATATAAATATGTTTATATTTTTTAGGTTATTAGTTTTAGAGAAAAATTGCTTGATATAAAATGCGAACATGAATTGGGATTAAAATCAATTAAAGATTGGAAAGTTTTTGAATTTTTAGATATTCCAGGACTTATTTTTATAAAAAATCCATTTACTACATATGGACAACGATATTGGATTATAAAATGTTTAAAAGAATATTCGAAAAAACCACATAAATTAAATTTACATGCTCATGATGTTTTAAATGATGATGAAAATTGGTGGGATATATGTTTTAAGTAAGATGCAATATTATAAAAAAATTACATTTGTAATATATATTTATATATTTATTATTAATATTTGTAATATATATTCATTATATTCATTGTAGGCACTTTGATAAAGGTGAAATTAATACCAAATTAATATCAAAATTAAGATGGGCAACATTTGGATATCATCATAACTGGGATACAAAATTATATTCTGAAACATGCAAGACAAAAATACCTATAGAATTATCATTGTTAACATCATTTTTAGCACAAACATTAGGTTTTAAAGATTTTAAAGCTGAAGCAGCTATCATTAATTATTATAGAATGAATTCAACTTTAGCAGGTCATACTGACCATTCTGAACCTAATGTTGAAGCTCCCTTATTTTCTATAAGTTTTGGTCAAACTGCAATATTTTTAATTGGAGGACTTATGCAAGAGGATACAACTAATGCTATATTTTTACGGAGTGGAGATATAATAATAATGTCTGGAATGTCCCGTTTGAGATATCATGGTATACCAAAAATATTATTAACCATTGATAAACCATGGGATAATGAAGAACTAAATGATAATCAATGCAGTAGATTAAATCAAAATGATTGGAAAAAAGCAAAAATTTATATTTCTGATGCTAGAATAAATATGAATGTAAGACAAGTGTTAAAAGTTGGACAATTCTCTTTGTTATAAAATACAAAATTGTCTTATATATTTTTTATTAAAAATACTTATATCAATTACATTAATGTAAGATACTTATTTTTTCCTTGTTATCTAAGCTGTCAATTCACATCAGCTGATAGAAGCTGCACTATAAAAATATATTGTTCCTATTATTTAAATACTATTATTTGAAATATCTTCTATAGTATGGTTTTCTAGATTATTTTGAAACATATTCAAAATATTTAGAAAGTCCCAGGCAATTGTTGTCATTTTTAATAAAAAATCTTGTGTATGTGATATCCATTTGACTTTAATATTATTAATTGCTTCATGATTATCGCAATTATTTGGAGTTGAGCAAGATTCTGTTAATACTATTGGCATGTATGGTTTTAGTAAGATATTTGTAGCATCACGAACTGCTTTATTTAGGATAAAATCTTTCGAGATATCAGATACGTAAATCATTTTTTCCATATTAATAATAATTTACCGAAAGAAATATATGGATCAACCTGTAATAAGAATTAATCATTTAGAATTAATTTTTCGTTAGTATGTAAAAATATACAAACCTATTTCTAAAAAAGATTAATGTTCATTCTTATAAGGATATCTTTGAAGGCTTTTTTAATTATTCCAGATTCTTAGCAACTTCTACGTGTGCTATGCGGATTGACAGCATTCACGTTTATCCTGAATATGTTATTTAATTCATTGTCGCTAATGAAAAAATAACGTTTTTCTTTTATTAATCGTTATATGAAACAATTTTTCATTTCTTCAAATAAAATTTTGCATTTTTGAGCCATTGAAGAATTTTGGTTTTTATTATTTTCATTCTTTATTTATGTAAACGTTAATTTAATTTTATAAATTTTTATTATGTTAACTTCGAAATTTATTTATTGATGTTAATCTTGCTACATTTTCATTCTGTTCAATTGTTTTATATACTCTGTGTATTGCATTAAAAAATATTGGTTACATTTTTTATTATTTATTGTTTTTAAAATTGCGCGCTAGTTTTATGCGACTATACATTTTTATACTATATATATATATTTCTGACATTTCCGGTCTTACGAGTCAGCTGATCAATTTCATTCCTGTCTACTTGATAGTTCTTATAGTTATGTCTGGAAAAGAAAAACTTGCAATTTTCCCTTCTCGGGGGTAAGTTATTCTTTAAATTATAAAAACTTATTTTATTTTTTACTGAACTTTATTTTTAATTTATTTAAGTCTGTTTTATTCTTAATAGATTGTAAGACTGTAATTTTTATCATTAGATGGGTGTAACCCTACTTTTAATGTGTTCAAACCATTTAAATTATTTCTTAATATATGTTTATAACTACTAATATATGATTAGTTTATTATAAGTTTTAATTATAATTTGTGTTATATAAGATTATTAAATTTACACATCATTTAATTTTTCCATTACATTAATTAATGATATGTAATGCAAGATTTATAATTTGATTTTTTTTTTCAGAGCACAAATGTTAATGAAATCCCGTTTACATGGGGCACAAAAGGGTCATGGTTTATTAAAAAAGAAAGCAGATGCATTACAAATGCGTTTTAGATTAATTTTGGGTAAAATTATTGAGGTATAGTAACAATTGTATATAGTATATAGTATATAACATAATTTTGTATATAATATACAAAAATATATTTGTATTTATATAAATAATTTCTTTTTTTCTATAACAATTTTTTTTTATTTAGACAAAAACTCTTATGGGAGAAGTGATGAAGGAAGCAGCTTTCTCATTGGCTGAAGCTAAATTTGCAACTGGAGACTTTAATCAAGTAGTTCTTCAGAATGTGACAAAAGCACAGATTAAAATTAGATCTAAAAAAGATAATGTTGCTGGTGTTAATCTTCCAGTATTTGAATCTTATCAAGATGGCACAGATACATATGAATTAGCAGGTTTGGCAAGAGGTGGACAACAATTGGCAAAATTGAAAAAAAATTATCAAAGAGCAATCAAATTATTAGTGGAATTAGCATCTTTACAAACAAGTTTTGTAACTTTGGATGAAGTTATTAAAATTACAAATCGTCGTGTAAATGCTATTGAACATGTTATCATTCCAAGAATTGAGAAAACACTTGCTTATATAATTTCTGAGTTGGATGAATTAGAAAGAGAAGAATTCTATCGATTGAAGAAAATTCAAGATAAGAAGAAACAAGCAAAAGCTAAGGTAAATTTTACATTCTAAAAATAATTTTTTATGTTTTTTATCTTTTAGTCAAATTTTTCATATATTTAATTTATTTTACAGCTTGAGGCAGCTAGAGCAGAGATGATAGCTTCCGGTAAAGATGTAGAAGCTGCAAATATGCTTGATGAAGGAGATGATGATATTTTATTTTAAACATTGTACACAATTTATTTTCACAATCTATAGTATTAAAAAATTGTTTTAATTTTGAATGAATGTGTTAATGAATGAATCCAGTGAAATGAGAATATATTTAGTATTTTCACAAAAATCTTAAAACAATATTAATTTTATATTTCAGTTGTATTATATAAAAAATTATTATTAAAATTTGAAACTTCTGCATAAATAGATGATAAAAGGTAGATGATTTTATGGATTACTAACATTTTTTATACAGTATGATACATTATGATACAGTATGATATATTATGATATAAATATGATATAATATGTTATATTGAAATTTCACCATATCATAAAAAATGTTAATAATACTTTTTATCAACTATGTGCCACTAATTTGATAACTGTTGAAATTGTATTTAATGCATTCAACATGTTTATATTGTTATATTACATGTTATATTAATAAGATTATAATTTAATACAAACATTTATGACGCAATGTTATAAGAAATTATAAAACCAATTTATTTAGTAAAAATTTATGAAAAATAAATATGTACATATATATATATATATACTTATTTCCGTTTAAATTTTTTATCTATCATCTACTTTCCCTATAATTAGAAAATATCTATTCATTTTATAGAATTTCATAAAAAATTCATCAAATTTTTAATATATTTTATTAATAACGGGAAATAAAAATCAAATAATTTTCATTCAATTAATCAAATAAATTTCATTAAATTTCTTATTTTTTATATTTGTAACTATAGATATCTTAAAGATAATTTGCGATATTATTAGCGCGATTTTCCTGAAATAATTAAAAAGAATGTCATTATAGATAATCATTATAGATAGTAAATTTCTTGAACTAGGTCAATCAATATATGAACCTTTTCCCATATGAGTCAACTCTCCTTACTAAAGATAGTGCGCGTGTGGAAAATCCTTTCAGTGCGCGGAAAATTCGTGCCACCCCAAAGATGTCGTCTGATCATTTAACGGTCGTGGATGTTCCAGAAAATCGCTTTGATGATGCGATCCATCATTTAAAGTGGAATTTCTTTTCTGACGAACCTTTGAATCATGCAGTAGGGCTATGTGAGAAAGGAGAAAGCCAATTCGAATTGGAAAGACATTGCTTGCTTACTTTAAAGCAGGGATACTCAAGGATGCTGGTGAATCAAAATGGAATGGTAAGCTGAATTAAAGAAAACGAATTTTGTATATCTTTTTTTTTTACAATAAAGAAACAATTATGTACTTTCGATCAACTGGATTTATTTTATACGTTATAAATATTTTATCGATCAAGCAATGTTTTTCTATGATATATATAGACTTATGAACGTTTAGTTCATTGTCGATCATAAGTACTGTCCTATCAGATAGCTGGTATGGCTTTGAATGGTATCTTGAAGAAGGGAGAACGAGAGGAAGCTGAACGTCGTCTCGCAGAATTAAATGATAAAAAATTTAAAATAATCTTCGGGCTCCTCTACAAAGTTAACGAGAAAATTGATCTTTTTTCTAAGTACAATGTAGATGAATTATTCGAATGTCGAATACTTAGTATAGATGAGAACTTTCGTGGAAAAGGTTTGGCGAATATACTAATGGCAGATAGTATAGAAACTGCAAGAAATGCTGGTTTCAAGGTAATTCTAATCATGTACAATTGTAATAACTTTTTCAAAAAAATAATACATAATTTTGTATGATAAATGTTGTTAAAGCATGCATTCAAATTCGATGGAAAATCTTTTTAGAACTCTATATTGTAATCCTCCGTAACCCTCCGTAACTATTCTTTATTGAAAGCTTTCACTAATTTTACGGCAATCCTTCAAATTTCAATTATAAGTTGCAAAAATTTATTTAATGAATATTGCTTTTTATACATAAATGTTAAATATATAAATTATTAAATCTAATATTTTAAAATAATATAAAAAATTTATTAGAAACCAGTAAATTTATTAAAAATGAAAAAAGATTTTATGTATCTGCTCGTACTTGTACAGCACGATCTGGCGTGGTCGTTTGGTGAGAAGTTCACATTATATTTTTGTTTCAGCATGTTCTTCGATTAATATGCATGGGATGATTTTCGTTTACCAAGATGTAAAATTACAATGCACTCATTACTTTCTCGAGAGGTATATTTGCACGCAGTGTACTTCATACCAAGTGTATGTAAATGTTGTGTGCTTAATTTATTATAATGACACTAAAATATGATATTCAAATTGTTATATGTTCACAGGTTTTTAAAGCTGATGCTACAGGAATGTTTTCACAAAAAGTATGCTTGAAACATGGTTTCCAAGTTGAGGCAGAGATTTTATACACGGATCTCGATGAATCAATCAGACCAACACCTCCTCACGAAGCTTTAAAGCTAATGGTGAAGATATTGAATTAAAAATATAGTGAGAAACGAAATTCAATGTTAATCTTGAAAAATCTTTAATAAGCAGACAAAGATATTACGAAAGAGCAGTAGTATAAACTATGTGTATCGTTGTGTGACAATAACATGTCTCTAATGTATGTTTGTCTCAAAGACGCATTTATAAAGTTCTTACATCTAATTGCAAGGCGAATCGTATGCCTCTCTTAGAAAATACTAACGATTTGAGGCATAGATTATTACTCCTTGTCTGTGTTCTGAATGGTGTGCTGTTATTAAGAAAAAAATAAATAATATACTTATATATTAAAATAAATATATATATATATATATATATATATTGAGTTGACAAATGCAAGAATGAAAATCCATTTAATATTTTCTTCATTGGACTTTTGTTCTGCATTCTGCTAATTCAAAACGAAACAAAGTGCTCTAATTTACGTAGTAAAAGATGTACGAACAAAATAATTATCTCTTCGTATGTGGCAAAGAAATATATCAACGATAGAATCTGAAACTGAAATAATGTGTCAAATGTTGTAATTTGACATTTGTTAATTCTCTAGTACATTTCTATAGTTCGCTGGTGGTAAACTGAAAGTATATTGTATATGTACACAATAAACAACGTTGAAAGTGTTCGATTGTGTACGCGTTTTTTTACAGCTACCAATAAAGACTAACAGAACACGGAATAGTTCTTGATCCGTGTCTAACAATTTTTCGAAAATAGTGATTTAACTCATGGTTACAGGAATAACTGGATGGGTCCATACGAGTATAGAATAATATTACGAGAATTATTATTTTTGTTGACGTCACATGTTACGAAAATATATCACAAGTTATTTTGTAAAAATAAATCTGCTAAATAAATATTACAGTTTATAATGATTAATGTTTTATAATATATCCTTTCAAATATCTATAAAACATATTAAATGCAGATTGTAATTAAATAAGTACAACTTTATTTCGATAATAGATATATAAATATATAATATAACAAGCAACAAAATTTTCCATAAAAATTATATAATTTAAAAAGGAATAGTAACAGTCTTGCAATAATATTTAAATATACATATAATAAGAAGACTTAAAAGTTCACTTGAGGTCTAAAATGTTTTTGCAATTTATTTGCCTTAAATTGTAATTGTGTAGAATATTTTGTCTGTATTCTCTGCATATATTTTATATCTCTGGCTTTCTTTACAGCAGCCTCTTTCTCTGTTTCTGTCCATCCTAAAGCTCTATATTGTGATAATACTTTACGTAATTTTGTGCTTTTTGATACTGCAACTGCTCTATTTGGATTCAAATTTTGTTTATAATATCTTAATAGAGATCTATGACCAATAATATTTCCCGATGGTAATATTAGCTGATAATCACTATCATCTAATTCTGGTATTTCAATTTCTGCATCTGGATCACCAGATTCTGCATCAGGATAACTAGATGAATAATCATAATATTTTGCATATTCTACAAGTGAATCTCCTTCATGCAACATTTTACAATGACCTTTATCAATCATATGTGCTCTGGCAGCCTCAGCACTTTGAAAACATCTTCCTGTTAATTTATTATATTAATATAATAATTATTTTTAATTTTCTAATAATAATAATAATAATGAATAAAATTTAAATTAACTTACCAGAATTATTACACCAAATACACATATAGCCAACAATAATTTTTTCTCCAAGATATTCAAGTAAACCTTTAATGTCTATACAATATTCAGGATCTGGTATAAAGAATGAATGTGCAATTGTCATATGTTTTAAATTCTTTACTAAAGATCTGCTATGATGACTGCAAAACAAACAATTATTATTTGTGACTGGATTTTCAATATCTTCAATCCATTCATCAGAATCTATAGATTCAATATCAGAATTTGCTTCTACATGTTCTCTTAGATATTTCTTGGAAACTTCTTCATTTATATTTTTTTTAATAATAGAATCTTCCGAAGGACCATCATCACTGAGATCTTCATTTACAATTTCAAAAGGAATATTTTGTTTTATATATTTTTCTTTGTGTTTCTTTGATAATAAATGATTTTCATATTGATTTCTAGTGTTGAAATTCTTTCTACATATTTTACAATTCATTGTTTCTTCTTCTTTTTCTTTGTCATCTTTATTTCTTTGCGCAATTACTTTTTTCTGAAATTCTTCAGCAGATACAGGAGGTAATTCAGCTACTTTTCTCTTTAAATTATATCTATGCCAATCTGATTTATAATGTTGTCTTTGTATTTCCAAATCTTTAAATGCTACGCGACATGTGATACAAGTAAACGGTGAAGTCATTTTTTTTAGTACGTTTCAATAAACCAAAAATTAACAAAATCTAATAACTTTATAAATCTATTTTTCTTAATCATTCAAAATTGTATAATAATTTTATAATAAACTTTTAATATAATTTATTTATCACGATATAAATTTATATAGATCATAATACAAATATTAATAATTAAGTGTATACATGTAAAAGAAAGTAAAATATATCACGTGCGCAATTACGTTTTATACTAATATTGAGGTTATGTTAATACAAATACCGATTAATATAATATTATTGTAGCTAATAAAAATATTACATTAAAATATTATAAATATATATATAGATTTTTATAATATTATATAAGAGAATTTTTTTTATAAAATATCAATAAATCATACATATATTTGATTTTGGTAGTAATTTTATAAAATAGTAAATCTATAAAAAATTTCATTTTACAAAATGAACAATAAGTTTAATATTATTAATCATTTCTCAATTGCTATTAAGAAATTAAAAAATAATATCAAAATTTATTTACAAGCAATTTTTTCCTATTTTCTTTAATATGATTTTTGACATTGAATACTTGATATTAATATTTTATAACTTCATCATTTAAACATAGGCCTTAATTTACAATTAGATGACATTATTATTATTTTTTCAAATTATTTAAATTGGATTTTTATAAACAAGATTTTTTTTAAATTTTTTTTTGATAAATAAATTTTTATATAATTTTATGTAATATATTGACAAAATAATTTCTATGATGAACATTAGAATAAAATTTTTATTAAAATAATTAAGAAATTTAACGAGAATAAAATTATAAAATTTCTATTGCATCATTGTCAATGATATCGTGTGCGGTCACGTGAGGATTAAGTAAAAAACGAATGCTTATGAAAAGGTAGGGGCACTATCATATATGGGGAGTCACGAATTTTGTTTACGGCCCTGGTTTCGAGGATCATTTGCAGTTGTATTCAGGCAGTAGCAGTCTCAGAAGCCGGAACGTTTCGTGTGCACGTCGTGAGCGAAAAAGTTACGCACAGCACATAAAGTTGAGAAGAATCGGCAAACAAATAGTCATTTGACAACAGGAATACTTGTCATCAAACGAAAGAAGGAATCGAACAAGCAAAAGTATTGACACAGTGTCACGTCTACGCGACTGACTATTTCAACGACCGACTTTCGTAGGCGACATCGTAGAAAGACGTAAAACGAGACACTGGAGTGCACCCGACAGGGCGATCCATCTGTCTCGATACACTCACGAATACCCGTTCAATTTTTACGCTAGAAGGCGGCCGTCCAGCAGGGCGATACCATTTTATATGACTTTTCTTCGACGTCAAGGTGAGTGAAACCAGAGCATAGTAGCAACGGCAATGTCCTATCTGGTATCATATCGTTGCTTCTGACGCTAATTTTAGCGACCAGCCATTTTGAACACGAGAACGTGCTCGATTCATGAGCAATTTATGTTCTACGGAAATTAACGTTTTCTTGTATCTTTTTTGTTTTTATATCTTCTTTCACGAATATATGCCATACCATCTTTTTTTCTTTGTCTTTTTCTAGTTGCATTATTTTTCATGTCCAATAACGTAATGTTAGATCGATATTGCTTACCGAATTATTGAACACACCGAAACGGATGGTTTCATCGTTGAGTAAACTATGAGATTGCGATAACTTACGTATAATGTTATATTCTGATGAATCATTTTTTACTTTTTAGTGGTTATAGAAACAAGTGAACGAAATCTAAAAAATATATCATCGAAAAATCTAAATATAACTAAATTTAATTTTGTAACATTTAATTTTTGAAAGTAGTTAAATTAAAATTATATCTAAATTTTAAATTTTATTTCTCGTATTTTTTATTTGCACATTTTATTCTTACGTAATATATAAAATGCAACGTCATCTACTGATTAAAAATTATAATAAATTATTCTACAAAAAATATTATTTTTTAAATTAACCAATATATTTTAAAAATGTCTTGATTTAAGTATTATGATAAAAATAATGTTATGTATTTTTTATGAGTTCGACTCGATTAAAAATTTTCCACTATAGTGCAATATGTTAATATTGATTCAAGCTGAACATACGTTGCTGTTTGTAATGAATTTGTAATGTTGAATATCCATATGCTTTGTACACTTATCATGATCGACCATGTTCATTCGATATAAAATCATAATTTTTGTACGTTTGCATCGAATGTTTACCGATCGAGATTTGATGAAGCGAATGATTTCTTAAAATAGATTGGAAAAGCTATATAAATTATCAGGTTACAGCATTCATTTCTTTTTATTGACAAGAATTTTTTTATTGATAAGAATTATCGAAGAAATTTTTTATTCTTTTGTAAATGTAATTCATATATTTTTTTTATTGTAAATATCATTAATTAAATATTCCTATTTAAAATTTTTTGATAAAATATAGGATATTAGATAAAAAACATATGTTAAAATTTATCATTTTGATATTATTCTTGTCTTTTTTTATTGGTTATAGATAATTTTTTTTTTTTCAATTCCATACGTTATTCAGATTTAAGTAGTCTAAAAAGACATTTTTATCTACAATGATGCTTATTTAGATATTTTCTATTTCAATTTTTTATAATTGAAAAATAGGTAATGATTACAACATTCACATTATATTCCTGTAAAGTATATAATATTATAAAATTCAAAAAGTTTTTTTGTGTTGATTATTATATATTCAATAAAAAATTTTTTATTTTTTTTGAATTGAAAAAAAAAATAATTTACTATAAGATATAACCACAATTTTTTAAAAAATCTTATAACATTAGATTATTTATAACATATAGATTATCGACATTTAAATAATTTCTGTTGAAAAATTTAGAAGAATAATCTCTAAAATATAAATATAATTTTTTATAGGTAATCTTCATTTCTTATACATGAAAATATAAAAAATTGTATCTATGAAGAAAAACATTATTATAAAATCATTTTGTTGAATGCATTTGATATTTCAATATATTATTCATTCGAAATCAACATGGTGTAAAAATAGAAAGTTAATATTTAATTTGATATTTACTCTTTTCTAATAATATTTACATTTTGATGTCACTTTGACTTGATTTAGATTTAAATTGACCGTTTCAATTTTACTTTGTTTGGATAAATATTTTATATTTTCTGAATTCTATTTTAAACATTGAACTTGTATATTTTTAACTAATTGAATTATGAATTGAATGAAATCATTTCATAAAAAACAAGCTACATTATAATAAACAACCATGCAAATCACATCTTTTCTCGAAAAATATTTATTCTTTTTTTCTCAAAAAATATTAATTCTATTGATTTAAAAATTTTATTTTTATTTTATTATTTAATTTCATTTTATTTTTACAATAAATAAAAGTGAATAAACATGAAATTAAAATGTTATTCTTTAGAAAGATAGATTTAGGAAAAATAATATTAGTAATATCTATTTTTTAATATATTTATATTATTTTGCTTCATATATATTGTATATTATTCACGAGAAATGATTTTGATTCTAATATTATTAGTAGATATAAAAAAGATGTTGATGTTAATCTATAATCGAAATTAGTTTTAATTTTTTTTTTTTTTAAATTGAGAGAATATACTTAATCTATATTTAAAAATTAGAAATAGAAAAAGAAGAAAGAAATAAATTCATATATTTTATATTTTATTTTATATTTTATCGATAAAATTAAATTATTGATTTTATTTCATTCTTTCTTTATATGTGAGAAAAATATGTTTCATATGTACGGTGCTACTTTGTTCCAGCGTTATATGGTATTCGATCATCAGAACACGAAACTCTTGGTTTCGAAAGAGATTCCTCGAACAGAGTCCGTAGTAATCCGACCTTTCGCTCCCTTCGTATACGTTCGCCTTATTTTTTCCATTTATCTGTGGCTTAAGATGGCCTGTTGTGACCTGTAAGCTTGCATAGTTATTCGATAGCGATGCAAAATAATACCTCTTAATCAGTTTCTCTCGGTGCGTCAATGGTTCTCAAACGATGCTTCGATATCGAAGCCGATTTCCTTTTGTTTAACAAAATTATTTAAACTGAATAAAGTAAGGAAAAAGAGAATAATTTATCATTCTTAACATTTTTTCGCTCGATTAAATTCAATTCATTATATCGATTCGTATAATGCATAGTAAATCTATGCATAGCCAAAATTGTGATGTTGATAATCTTATTTTCTTATCGATTTGAGTTCAATAATCTCATGAATCGTACAATCCTGTTCGAGAATCTCTGGAAAATCGGTGTGAACGACTTCCACTCAAAGGGAAGCGGTCATCGAGGATCGACGAGTAGATAATTAGGCCGTTTATCGAACAGCTTGTCGAATGTGTATTCCGCTTAATTCAATCAAGCGAGATGATTCGTCTTCTTTTGTTGGAAATTTATTATTTGAGATTATTTATTATTTCGAAATCCGATATATAGAGAAATTAAATAAAAATTTTTCCAATTTAATTTATATACAATTTATATATAATTATATATAATTATATATAATTTATATACAAATGTTATATTTCGCCTATCTAATCATGAACAATTTGATCTATAAGCTGTAAGATTCGCCAGACAGATGTTTATTTCATTCTTTTGCATATGAAATGTTCTTACGACGAGTGAAAGTCGATAGTGAAAATTTTTCAGTCTTTCGAAACTTTACGATTAGAATCGATCTTGATCGACTCGTTACATACAACCGTTTTCGTGTGTCAAGTTCGTATAATACGATCCTCAAGATCGTCATTAATCGCTCGCAGGAATTTTCTTGCGCTTCGAATTCGCATTGTTCTCCCTTCTCGCGTTACCCACTGTAATTGATTCGATTTTATTCTATGCTATCGCATCGTTCCATTTCCGTTTTCCCCTCATTCTGTTTTTTAATACTATCTTTAAATTTTTAACTTATGAATTCAAGTTTTAATCTTTCTCATATTGATATTTGAATTCTTTCTTGAATTATTTGAAATTTTTGTATTATAATTAAATATATTCGCATTATATCAGAGATATTTAAATATCCAAATAAAAAACTTGAATATCGTTCAAGTTTTGATGGTAAAACATGGCATGTAATCCGAGTTACGAATGTAAAATTGATACGTCTTGTACTAGAGTAAACTCGTAAAACTTGTCCTCTCCTTTCGTTTATTTTTTTTAAGTTCTTGACCGTGACTCAGTTGGTCTGTCCAGTTAAAAAGAAATTGTACATAATAATGTTATTTTCAATCTCGTTATATTAAAATTTCGAAAGAAAAAAAAAAAGAATTTGTCCAACTTTTTTCTCTTTTTTTCGTTATAATTTTTTAAATTTAACATTTTCTTTTACGATTTTACTCTTTTTTTCTTCGTTGATTTTTAATCGAGTGCATACTTAATGATGCACGAGAGATTTTCTCGTGCAAAAGAACGTTACTTATTCCGGCATGCAAATTTTATTCGAGCAAAATATTGCAAAAGATTTGCATCAGATAAAAGTTTTGCGGTAATTATATACGTAATAACGGTTATTATGTCAAGCAAAAGCGGTGAAAAAACGAAGAAAACGTTTGAGAAATTTTCATATTTTATTCAATTTTTAAACGAAGCGGTTTTTAAGCTAATTTAAGCTAAAAAAAAAATGTGAGAAATACATAACAATTGAAGAGATTCGAGTGATTTGTGTATCTATAAATTATGTCACGATATTTTAAACACACGGGTGTCAGACGAACACTCGTAAATGTCAATTTTCAATTACTGTACATTTTCTGTTCCTCGTTAATAGACACGATAAATTATATTTCGTAACTGACAAATACCGATGAAATTTTGATTTACAAAATATCGAAATTCAAAAATATGAAACTCGATATGCAAAGATGATTAATAAGTTGGATTCTAATGTTAGAATCGCGAGAAAGAAACGGAAAGTCTGACCTTGCCTCAGGCTATAGCACGCTGTGCAAAAATAGTTCACACACTGTATCCACACCGGAAGTTCCGTGTGGACGTGAGAATTAGCATAGAGCTATGTTTCGTTGCGTCATTTTCGGAAATGCTCGAAATGATAGTTACTCGATCGATGCAATTTCCACCTTCCCTCTACTTCCTGTGTCCTTAACGTCCTCACTTCCAACGATTGATTTTCTCTCAAAAAATTTCATTTGCTTGTATCGAACGATTTTTTTTTTTTTTTTGTGTCGAATCGATAATTCCTTTTTGTTAACGCGAATCGAATCACGATATTTGATTCATCCCGTAAAAACAGGATATCTGATACGACTTAA